ACAAAAAAAAAAAAATCAGTAAATAGACCAAGGAACTGAACAGACACTTCTCAGAGGATATACAATCCATTAACAAATATATGAAAAAATCTTGAACATTTCTAGCAATTAGAGAAATGCATATCAAAACTACTCAAGATTTCGTCTCACTCCAGTCAGAATGGTAGCTACTATGAAGACAGACAACAATAGGTGTTGGCAAGGACGTGGGGAAAAAGGTACACTCATACACTGCTGGTGGGACTGCAAATTGGTGCAGCCAATATGGAAAGCGGAAGGGAGAATTCTTGGAAAACTTAGCTGGGTCAAATAGTGGTTCCATTCTATCCCTCTCCTCGGTCTAAACCCAAAGGACTTAAAAACGGCACAATACAGGGACACAGCCCCATCAATGTTTATAGCAGCACAATTCACAATAGCTAAACTGTGGAACCAACCTAGATGCCCTTCAATAAATGAATGGATAAAGAAACTGTGGTATATATACACAATGGAATACTATTCAGCATTGAAAGAGAATAAAATCATGGCATGGAATTGGAGAATATAATGCTAAGTGAAATTAGCCAATCCCCCAAAATCAAATGTACAATGATTTCTCTGATAGAAGGATACTGATTTATAATGGGATTTGTGGGGGAATCATGGTAGGATTAGATGAACTCTAGATAGGACAAAGGGGAGGAAGATGAAGGAGCGGGCATGGGAGTAGAAAAGATGGTGGAAATGAGATGGTAATGTCCATCTCATTACCCTAAGTACATGTATGAAGACATGAATAGTGTGACTGTTTTGTGTACTGGCAGAGGTCTGAAAAATCGTGCTCTATATGTACACTATGAATTGTAATGCATTCTGCTGTCATACCTAACAAATTAGAATAAAAATAAAATGGAAGAATAACTGAAAAAATATTATGTTGCCACTATGGCAGTTTCTCCTAGTTTTTAAAAAAATCCCTTTACTCTTTAAATTACTGAATATGTTCTGTAATGCTTGTCACATATTAATGTCAGCATCAAGAAATAAGGTGACAAGTGCATTAAAACAAAAATAACACTCATTGGCTATTAATAGCCAGCCTGTATTGGTTAGTTGATGTTATTGTCTTAAATGTTATTTAATCATTTTAAATTTTGAACATTTTATAACTCCCAAGCGCTCTAGAAAAATGATAAGTAGCAAGTTCAGAATTACTTGCTCTTAAGAGACTTTGTCCACCCAAATGTCCTCCACTTGGCTCTCCCTACACATCCGATATTTTTCTACATTTCATAAAATCAAATGGTTGTCAGTCTGCCTCATTAGACTATCAGGCTCTTCAGGGCAGGAACCAGTTCTAACATCTTCATTATTATGTCCCTAGAACTAAAGGGAACATAGTAAATTGCCTAAAGATTAAAGGAAGAAATGTGACTTAGAAGTTTAAAAAAAATAAAGTATTTCAACTCTATATTGAAAAGACATAATGGAACTCTCAAAGTCTTTATAAAATAATCGGCTAGAAGACTTAATAAAGAAAATACCCCCTGTCTGTAACAGAATCTGAAAAGATAAAACTGGCATGTAAAACTATTAAGATATATACAGCACCTACAAGAAAATTCCAAACACAGTGAAGGAGATGGAAGAAGACTGAACAAATGTAAAAATATATCATGTTCTCTGGCAGGATTTGACTAGGACTTGTTATCATGGCAGAATATTCCATAATTTATAAATATAATGAGATGCAACAAAAATATTAGACCTTTTTCCTTTATAAACAGATAAGCTAATTCTACGTTAATTAGAAATTAATTAGAAATAAGAACAAGAAATTCTTTAAAATGAGGGGAAAAAATTACTCGCCAGATGGCAATATAAAGTCCAAATAACACAAATTACATTTTTTGGGTCTTGAATAGAGAGATAAATCAACATAATAGAAAAGTAAAATAAATAAATGTTGAAATAAAACAAATTGACTCAAACATAGAAATTTAATATAAACAACATTGTTAAGCAATGTTAGAACAATGAGCTATTTAATATGAATTTCTGGCACAATGCATAGCTGTCTGGGTAAAACACACTGGTTGCATACCTTACCTTTTATGCCAGGATAAAGATCAAATAGATGGAATATTACATTATAAAAAATGATGAAGTCATTAGAAGGAACTAGGGAGTCTTTGTGGGTGTCTCTGAAGAGTGGGATGCCTTTCAAATCGCAACTCTAACTCCAGACTCATTTAGCAAACACTGATAAATTCCATACACAAAATAATTCCACTGTTACAAAAAATCAGAGGACAAATGATATTCAGATATAAAATGCTTGTAATTCATAATTTGAACAACTAGTGTTTATCAGATAAAGAGCCTATAGAAATCCACTTATAAATGACCAGCAGCCCAACAGATAAATGGGAAGAATAGAAACAAGAAACTCACAGAAAAGGAAACTGAAATAAAATGAAAAATCACAAGAATATAAAGACAGAAATACCAATTGGTCTAAAAGTATACAAAAAGGGACCCATGTGTGTCATAGTAAAGGAAATCAAATTAAGAGATACTGATTCTTTACTGGAAGTTCTTCAGTTCCTTGTGGTAGCATAACACTCAGTAACCACTGGAAAATCAGAACCACTTGAAAATAACTGTGCAAACTCAAAGTATATATATATATATATAGAGAGAGAGAGAGAGACTGACACAGGAAGGAGAATTGAGGCATGTACATAGTTATTCCTTGATGCATAATCATTGCAAAAGATTGCCACTATGTCTATTGGTAGGGAACTGGTTGAATACATTATCTTCATACAATGTCATACTGAGAAGCTCTTTTTTAAATGGTGAAGAAAATTGTCTACTTATAGACATAATAACTGCAATAAGCATTGCTAAGTAAAGAAAATTGGTTATAATTTTGTTTTCAAACGCTGTGTGTTGCAAGTACAGAACATTGTTTAGTTTACAGAATGGGGAATCAGAACTATATTCTAATTTCTTTGTTTACCTACAGAGAGGGTTGAAGTCTACACAAGAAAAAAAATGTGGTAAATGGGAGTGGATGGAAACAGATTGAAAGAGGAGCAAGAATTTTCAATCCACACTTCTGTGCTTTTTCATTTATTGCATTTATTTATGTGCTAGGTATTTAAAAATTAAATTAAAATTCTGGGAAAAACAAACAAAAGACCTTGGCCTACACTACAAAGCCCCTCTTGCCTTTTGCTGATTTGTGCAGCTTCCTTTTTCCCTGAAAAGTATGGGGCGTTGTGGATGAGTGGTCCCCCAAAGTTTCACGAGCTGAAGACTTGGTCCCTGTGTGACAGTGTTCTGGGGTGAAGCTCTGGGGAAGAGAGTGGACCATCGGGGCTCTGAACTTGTCAATGGATGGATCCATCTGATTCATGATTTAAGTGGAGACTGGAGGCTAGCTGAGCACGTGGGTCACTGGGGGCGTTCGGAAGGGTATGCCTTGTCCCTGATCCCTATCTCCACCCCTGCCTCCCAGCTGTCCTAAGCCCCTCCACCACACCCTTCTGCCAACAAAGCTGCTGACCAGGGATGGAAACCTCTGAAACCACAGGACAAAGAATCTTTCTGCTTTCAAGTTGTTTTTTTTTTTTTTTCTTTTTTATTTCTTTGGGGGTGGGGAGAGGGGCTTATTTTGTCGTAGCAATGCAATGCTAAGATAAAGACTTAGCAATTATAAGAGATTCAAAGTAATAGATGAGAACAGCCCTTCTCCTTGAAACCCCCTTGCCTGTGGCCTGGGTAACATGGTCATCTGCAGACTTGAGATGCTATGTGACGCAGTCACTTAACAATAGACTATCTCTTCCAGAAAGTCTTGTGGGCCTGTGCAGGGGGGACAGGTCACTGGGCACAGCTTTTCTTCACAAAATGAACGCTGCCTCTGGAAGGCCCTGCACACCCAGCCCCAGGCCTCCCGCAGAGGGGGGAAGCTCTGCGCTCTCCAGGGTGGCCCTGGCATGCTGGAGTGGTGAGAAGCCATCACTAAAGGGCAGGACCACACCTGAGCACAGACACTGTGGCTTTCTGCAGGAGTGTGACTGTCTTGCTTTACGTTTGGGGGGGTTTTGTGTTTGGGGTTTTTAGCCAAATGTGTAAATTTTTCTTTCTTTTTTTTTAAATTGTACCTTTGGTCCTTTTCTCGGGAAACGGGAAATAGTTCATATCAGTGCAGCCAGGTCACAGGAGTGTGCAGCGAACCGGATTCCACAGGTCAAACAGTTACTTTTCAGAGCAGGACTTCTTGGACTCAATGATTTGTTAATGTGCCTTGTGAATCCCAAAGGGAAGTAAATACGGGATGCTATGTTTCCAAACTTACTGTAAAACCCTGTGTCAGGGGCCACTTCTCTGGATTAGTATTCTGGGTCACACATTTTGGCAGATGATGCTAAAAGGTCATTCTCCATGACCTTGTTTTTGGCCACTATTACAAAAATACTTCTCTAGAATTAAAGCAAACAAAAACTTCAAATAAGTGAAAAAGTTTAAAACACTCTACACCTAAGAGAAAATGGTAAACTACTAAGCATGTATTTGACATTAGAGAGTTTTCACAAAAATATCTTATAGAATGTTAATCCTATTTCCATTTTCATCTATTGGGATTTCCACTACCACATATAGTAAAATTATTATTTGTGAGCTTGGTCTTCCATCATTATAGAAACGGAAGTGATTTCCAAATAATAAAGTTACTTTTGACTTTAATATTTAGTTGTAGGATAGTCTAATGATTTACACCATCTAAGTATCAGTGCTTCTAAGGCATTCTGTTTATTAGATAATTACTAGTGCAAATATAATTCCCCATTCACTTTGAATGTAAGTGAATTATATTGTGTGTGACTATAAGAATTTCAAAGTGGCTGTCTTGAGATGCTGTTGAAATACAGTCTCTAAGCTGGGAACTTTCAAGTGTGATTGTACTGGACTTAGTCACGGCAGACACTACTGGGCTATCCCTTTACCTTTACGAATCGTTGGTGTGTCGCTGTCTGCAATCAGTTGCAAGCAGTCTTGAGTAACTGAAAAGCAAAAGTTCATCATTTTAATTACTTGAGTAGGAATGATAAGGGAGCTAAGATGACTAAAAATACAAAGCCACAGACTCGGTCTCCCGGGGAGGCTAAATCAAACACACCTCTTGCATTACTTGTGTGATCTTAGTCTTAAGTCACTTTATGAAATTGACCCATTCACTTTAATATCTGTGCTGGAAATTCATGACACTTTTGCAATGCTTCATACTGTGGAGGCACAGCAAGCGTGGCATTGTGGAGTGGAATCAAAGTTGCTTTGAAATAACAGCTACATAGAAAACATACTTGGTTATTTTGTTTTTCAAGTTAGCCAAATAAATAAAACAGATAAACTTATCAGATCAGTTTGAAACATTTGTTGAATCATAAAACCAACATTAAATAATGACTCACTGCTATTGGAAATACACTAAGGCTTAGCCTACTCTACATCGTTGAATCCTCCCAAGAACCCTAAAAACTAGGTATCTTAAACTAAGGTTTAGAAAGTGTACATGTCTTGTTCAGGACCTCAGAGATAAAGTGACCAGACAAGAATTTAAGTCCTGTCTGTTTAACTTGGGAGCCAAAGTCAAGTATTTTTGGCAAAATCCTTTGGACAGAAGAGAGAAAGAGGGAACATTGTTTAAAAATAAAATGTAAGGACTTTGTGACACTGAGTTGTCAGTGAGGCTTCTGGGGAATGTCAATTCACATCCCAAATCACAGGTGGACTATTTCAGATGACATTCGGAGCAGTAAATAACGACTGCCTTAAATGAAGAAAGAGAAAGGCCTTGGGTAAAGCCAAGGAAGAGCAGGTTCTGTGGGGTGTATTCTGAGATAAAAGGAAAGCAGTAAGTATGCATGAAAAACCTGGACCTAAGCTTGCAGGTTTTAATTGAAGAAAATACTCTTCAGCAAAACCTTCATATTTTAGGGCTGGGGATGTGGCTCAAGTGGTAGCGCGCTCGCCTGGTATGCATGCGACCCGGGTTCGATCCTTAGCACCATATACCAACAAAGATGTTGTGTCCGCCGAGAACTGAAAAATAAATATTAAAAAAAATTCCCCCCCCCTCTCTCCCCCCTCTTAAAAAAAAAACCTTCATATTTTATAAACACATGCTTCTCCGTGTGCTTTCTACCAAGTGGATGTGATGGGGATGCCTGCCTTGGTATCAAGCTGAAAATTTCTGACATTTAAAACTCTGCATAATGGGGTAATACTTGTGTACTACTCTGAGGCTGTTAAAGAAAACTCTTAAGGTTGATAGCATTAAAAACTGTTTAGGAATTTCCCTCCTTATTTAAAGGTGGAAATGGAACATCCAAAATTACAACTTGCTTATACAGACGTGGAACTTCTGACTTATTTATACGCTAATCTAATCATTTTGCAGCAGAGAATTTTGATCTCCTCTGTGGATTCTTTCACTGATCTTGAGGAACAAAGGTAGCCACACCTGAGCCATAGGGACAGTATGGTTCCTGTGGCTGACACTCCCCTATGACAGTCCTTAGAGGCATCACAATGGGCAGCAGAGTGAGGAAGGCTTTAATTCTCCACCTATAGTAGCTGGCTGAGAGGAAAGATTGGCCTGCTCTGGGTTTCTGTGTTCTCCTCTAAAATGAAGACGGCAGTGTTCAGCAAGTCAGCTCCGAGGGGCGAGAGGCGAAAACACCGGGGAGCCTGGCACACGGTCAGCAGGTGGAAGTGCTGTACAACCTGGGTTCCTCCCTCCCTCCCTCCTTCCCCACATGCTCTGGAGGGCCTGCACGGGACATCTGCTCAAACAGTGGGAATCTGTCTGGAGGAAATGCTGTCTCTAACTCTTCAGAACTGCAATGTCCCCCAAACTCGTGACAAAAATGCAGCTGCCCCAAAGCAGTTTAAGTAGGAGCTGAATTACAACAGCAATATTTAAATATTAAAGCTAATATTGTCCCTCTGTGTAAAATTATTAAGAACCATTTATCTTTCAACACTATGAATTCATGTTTTATTCTGCAGACATGAATAGGTATTTAAAAAGAAGTTGAAAGTACAAAGAAGCATCGAACTTTATAACACTGTCTTAACGTTTTCATTTTTTCAATGTATTTGCCATTTTCTAGTGTTACAATTTACTCAACGATTATATGTATGGTTTATTTTTCTCTATCTCCACCTCACTGCAATATAAGAATCTGAGAGACTCGATGTCACATTTGGCTGCACTGATGGGCTTGTTTCCTGGATCTTCCCTTTCCCCAAACTTTAGGCTTAATAGGAACAGGGTTCAAAGGTTTGGTTATCAGGTCGCTCTTTTAAACACTACTTTGGAAATTGAAAAGAAGCCAACTCTTGCAACACTGAAGAGAAAAAAAGAAGTCTCACTATTGAAGAGGGGAAAAGAAAAATTACACTTAGGAAAGACTGCGGTCAAACATTGCCTGAGAGCAGCCAGCGGTTCTAGGAAGAGCGCGTCCTTGCTGGGTAAGAGGCTCCAACTGGCCTGATTTTGCCAAGTTAGCAACGGACTTCTGCATTTCATACTTTAACCCTCAGACCTGCCTCACAAGTCACAGTTCAGTCAGAAATACCAGAAAACAAGAAACACCGAGGACCTGCCAGGTAGCTCACCTTCCCTTGTGAGTGGGACTAGGAGTTCAAGAAAGGAGACTCAAAAATGATATCTTCACTTCTCACAATTAAAAAAGCTGATCTGAGAGAAATGCTTATGTTACAATATTAGGTGTTAATTATGTGCACTATACTTGAAATTCTCACCTTAAAAAATGTTAACCGTAAAGTAGTATCCTTGATTCACCCTGAAACATTAAAAAAAGAAATCCATCCATGAGGAATCCCAAAATCCAAAAAAAAAGGCCTTGAGTTTGGTTAGTAGTGGAGTCCCATGTTGGTGCCTTCCTTGTGCCATGGGGCCACGCTCATGGAAGGTGGTAATGCTAGGGGAAGATGGATGCAGGTACACCCACTCTGTCATGTTCATGCAACTTTTCTGTAACTTGAAAATAACTGATCTAAGATAAACATGGGGAAAAATAAACTTGGCTATCTTCCAAGTAATTATTGTAAAATTTTGAAATATGGGCAATCTTTTCATTTCTATTTCTTTGTGTTATTCTTGTTATCTCAATTGTAACAGTAAAACATTGATGAAAACTATAAAAATGATAAAGATAAATTTACTTTATTTTATCTAAAATGCACATATTTTCAATAGTTCTTAAATTTTCTATTGAATAATGAGGGAGGAAATGCAAACGTTACTTGCAACGTTACTGAGCAACAACTGTTATTGTTCAGTAGCAACTTATTTGAAAGAATTCACTTTCTTGATGAAGTCTGAAGATGCTTATCCTTAGGATCCTAAAATGAAAATTGCCCTTAGGTGAGTTTTTAAAACCCAGATTATCAAAACTCCATTTGTACAAAAATTGTATTATATAACATTTCTGAAGCCAATTGCTTTAATTTTTTTTAATTGGGAATATTTCCAAACACATTTATGGGCTTAACGATGATTGGCTAAGATGAGCTACTTGGACATTTTTTTTTTTAGTCCTGGATTTCCCCGAATTTCTGTTTGTTATACTATAATCAGAATGATCTTTTGAAGCACATTAAGCTTAATAAAACTTTAATATGGAACACACAATAATTAAGAAACAAAATTCAAGCCAAAAAGCTAAGCTTTCCAATTAAGTAAAAGCAGCAATTGTCCTTGGGAGGACCTGGAGGGGGGGCTGTGGGCTAGCCATCACATCCACACCTACTGTTTCATAAACTTCAATAGAAACGTCAGTGGTTCTGAAAAAACCTGGGGACAGTTGATAAACCAGGATAAGTGAACCCTCTGAAAGCCAAAGGACAGCCCGCACTTAGTCTTAAAGAAACCAGAACAACTGGAGTGGAGACAAAATCAAAAAGAAGCATAGATTTAAGCTGCGTGCATCTTCTCAATCCCAAACCCCAAGACCTTTCTGAACAAACAACAAAAAGCCCTTGTATTGCAGCCATTTCTCTTGGGAACAGAGACATGAATTCTGAACTGGTACTTCCTCTGAAAAAGCTTACTATGTAAACAATGCAGGTGAAGTGCCCTGACAAGTGACGGCAGCTCTCGCCTGTCCCCGAGAGTCTTGCCCTCAAACCCTCCACCTTGGCTCTACGATTGTTAGAAAAAGTCTAAGGTAAATCATGGAAATAGTGATGGTGACTGCATGTGGGCTGCAGAAATGAGGGTCATGTTTTGGTTCACTTTGTTAGTCTTCTCTTATTCTCCAAACTTGCTACAAATTGCAAGTTATTCGGGGGTGGGGGAGCCCCAAACAAAAAACCAATACCACAACACTTTTCAACCTACAATTTGGGGATGCCCAAATCCAGAAATAATTAAAAATATGCAAATGGAAGGAAATTTTAAAATCTAATATGATAAATCTTGGCAAAGTGTGACTCAGGAAGCTATTTTTAAATCTATTCTTAAATATGTAGAAATGAGTATGTCCTCTTTAGAATGATAAATTTAGAAGCAGTGGAATGGTAGCAGAGATTAAAAATGACTGAAGAATCCTGACCTTACTAGATACTGAAGCCCATTATAATACAAAATACTCAACATGGCTTATTTATAGCAGATAAATAGAACAATAAATCAATGATTAAAAAAAGACTCGGTTTCAATTGTATGAGGAACTGAACACATTCCAGTAACTTTCCCAACACAAAGGAGTTAAATATAAACATCTACTACATTGGGATAAGGTAGCAGTCTGGAAGAGAAAAGAAGAGAGGAGGAAGTAAATGCCAGCATGAGATGATTCACCAAAATAAATACCAGAAGGATCGATGTGTTAAAACCCCAAAACAAAAAAACAAACAAAAAACACTAAACTATGAACGAGTCCTAAGTATTAGTAAATAGAGTAAAACAAGAGATTATGAACACATTCACACTTAGCTTACTTAGAGAAAATCAAAAGGAACAGATGACCTCATTAACACAGATGCAAAATCTTATATACATATGTTAAAAGAGCAGCAAAATTATGTGAAAATATTTACATCACAGTTTTGATCAATAATGCCTCAGAGTTTATACAAAATCATAAAATATTAGGGTGGTGGGAAATTAGAATTAAAAATTAGTAAAACATCTAGTTAGAAGTAATCAAAATATACAGAATGATATTCATTATTATAAATAAGCAACACATTAAAGTAAATTTGAGATTCTATGTTACAACTACTAAATTAGCCAAAACAAATATTTAAAGACAAAATGCTAGCAATAACGTGGAAAACTGGTATAGTACATTTTTGTATGCATAGGCTTATAACTCATTTTGAAAATGCTGTGACAATAAGTAGCATGTCCAGTCTGTTAAGCTCAGAAATTCATGTTGCAAAATTTATATTGAATATATAATTCCTCAGAAATGAAAGATATGCACAAAATTTTACATGTTCTATTATAGCCAAAAAAGAAAACGGTCAAATTAAAATTATACAACTTAATACAGATGTGAGAATGACTAGAAACAGCTTAAATGCTTGTCAAAGTGAAAAAAAATCTATCATAGCATTACATGCTCTTATTTTATGTAGAAAGTATAGATGATAAATACAAAATACAAAAATAAGATGTTAAAACAATGAGTTTCCTAGTTTAAAAAAAAAAATGTTTAAAGCCAGTTGTTAAATAGCCCAAAGACATGCTAACCAGATACAAAAAGGATTATCTGAGATGAGGAAGAATTTTCAGTAAACATGGCACGTGGTTAAAAACTGTTTCCAGTCAGCACTTGGCGTGTGCGCAGGACACCTGTCCCCTCTCCGGGTCACAGGCTTCTCTCCTGAAGTGCACACACAGGGGGACAGTGCTCTGTGGCCCCCAGACTCTGAAGGTGACGTGAAATCGGGTGAAAAGCCGATCCAGGGCCACACCTGCCTGGCACCTTCCAGGTGTTCAAGTATGTTCCCTCGACACCGCAGGGAAGCAGTGCCCAGATCCGTGAAGCCATCATGCGGACCAACCCAATGCCAACACTTCCTACCATCTTGGAAATGAATAGGTGACCTTGACGGTCTACTTCAACTCTGTAAAAAGCTCAAGGGAACCAGAGGACCGGAGCGTGGCAGAAGTGATCACACACGCATGGCTCTGCTGGGGAAGTCTGGGTGAAGGAGAATCTTTAAATCCGCGTGTGCGTGCGTGTGCGGGTACAAAATCTCCTTAAAGGAAACGGGGGAAAAAGCACTCGCATCCCGGGGTGATCCCGGGATCCCCTTCCTGGGGCTCCTGCATGCAACACCAGGGACTCTGGGAGATGCAGGTAGCGGGTCTACCTCTGCGGTGACGAGGTGCTCTGTCGCTGTGCTTCCGCAGGGATGGAGGGCACCACGCACTGGAGGACAAACCTGCCTCCCCTTGGCCTCAAGCGTGCTCGCCACGCAGCGCAGAGAAGTAGCGCCCAGGGAGGGATGCTTCTACCAGCACAGCCCCCTGCGAGGACCCGCAGGCTGTGCCGCCTAGGCAGCCCCGGGTGCTGGCGCTCTGCCCCCAGCCCTGTGGCTTAGATGGCAAAGTTCCTAGTCTGTACTTTGGAGGTTTAGAGAGGCTATGCGCACCTGTAGCTCTGCAGGCGGGATGCTTTCTCCGCACCTGTGTGCACGCAGCCCCGCCCACCACCTACCTGCTTCTTGGGACCCCTCAAGCGCACGCCGGTTCCTGCTGCCGGGGCTAGAGTGGCTCTCCCCCAGAGCGGCTGCGGCAAAGATGCCCTGTGAACAGAGAAGGGAGGTTATTGGCCTGGCGGCTGTGCGGGGCTGGGGGCGGCGGGGCTGGGGGCTACGGTGCAGGCGCAGGACTCACTTTCAGTCCCGCTGGGGCCGCGGGAGCCGCGGCTCCTGCCTGGGTCGGGGTGGGCATTGGTGCGCGGTGGCCCTGCAGTTCTGCGCGGAGGCTTTCCAGGTCCGCTTGCAGGGTGGACACGCGGTAGAAAGAGATAAGCGTGAGGCCACTGGAGAGTAGGGCCAGCAGCAGGGTCACGGCCAGCAGCTTTGCATCTCTGGAGAATCGGACCGAGGGGCTTTCCTTCTGTGGGAGGATGGGAACACACTCTAGTTTCATTTCTCCCCCTTTCTTGAGGCAAGAAGAAAGGCGTGCCTGCTCCCACTCCGTGGAGTCATCCATTCCCCGACTTGCACTTTGAAGGCTGGGGCCTTTACAATGAGTGACCACAGAGGACGGATCATTTCCTGTTATCTGTGTGCCTCGAGGTCCCGCATTGACTGCGAGGCAGCCCCGGGCTCTCCCCCTCCGGAGCGCTCTCCTGCTTTTCTTCTTTCTCCCCTTGTGCATCTTTGCCCCTCCTGGGCCCTGGCTTTACTGGCGTTTGCCCTTCTGTGGATTGCTCAATCTGTCTTCCTCATTTCACTTTCAGTTTTTGTAAGAATTTTAATGCCAACTCAAAGGACTCATGCTCAAGGAGATGCGAGGCCCCTCTCGCCCGCTGAGGAGACGGTTTAAGCTGGTGCTCTGGAAGAGAAGGCTTAAGACGAATTTAAGGAGATTCACCCCCAAGCTTTAGGGGAGAATGGGGTCTACTTGGAAGCACATGGCTTCTAGGGAAAGGGAAAGGGAACATTGAAAGCTCCCGCTGGAGTCACGACAACAATTGGAAGGTCGGATAAGCCAAGTGCTTTAGCACCGAGTTGTGTTTAGCTAGAGGGTGATTTATGAACAGTCCCCAAGGAGGAGACAAATGGCAAATCCTTAAAGGAGGCTTGGAAGCCCACTGGGGATTGTTCTTGTTATCTTAACAATGCAATAACAAGAATGTGACGCAGCTTTGAGCCAACTGCACCTCCCCCTTGCCACTGGGACACCCTGCTCACTGTGAGGCTCCCTGGAGGAGTCTTAGCTTTATCTCCAGCTCCAAACTCCTCATTCCCACTTGACCCTGCCTGTCCAAAAGCTACCGACATACAAGGTCCTGAATCAACCCAATCACTTCATCTGGAAGTGAGGGTGGTGCACTGCAGGGAATGTTCACTCATCTGGATCCTGCCCTGTCTTGATGGCTGATTCCTGCACTAGCACCAGTTCCTGACTGCTTTGCCCCAGCGTCCAAATGGTGATTCATCTTACAACAAAGTTAGGGAGGACTTAGCAAGCCTGGGTGCGCACTACTCCATGTGCTGGGGGTACTGAGCGGTAGCTTTGTCTCACAGCCCCCTCTCCTTACAGCCTTAATAAGGTTACAGAAGTGATACAGCATAAAGGTAAGTACCTCAAACTTCCAGGATTCTAATCTTGCTTCCACCCTTTGCCCTCCTTAAGCAATTCGTGGAAGGTCTGTGCAATTTAATTTCCTCCTCTGTGAAATGGGGTGATAACAGGAACTGTGCCCGAGGTGCAGAACCAGGCTTACAGGAAGGTGCTAACAAACTACATCTTAAAAACTACTGTTTTTTCCATTCACTATCCTTTGTTTATATTCAAAGGATAAATGAAATATTCTCACTATTATTGTGGTGCAAGAAGTACTTTTGTTCAATTGCCCCTGTAACATCTGTAGGAATGTATCCAGCAAGCACCTGCTGAGAGTAGGTACATCTTCACTTTCACCAGGTGACACCAAGTACCCTCTGATAAGTTCCCATTTCCTGTTGTCTTTCCAATGAGTTGAGGTCATCAAGCTATCCCTTTTTTCCTCTGCTTTTTTAAAAATGACTTGTCTATAAAACCCACAGTGACAAGTCTATAAATCCCACTCAACAGGCAGACACAAAGTGGCCTGAATCAAGCCAGAGTCACTTGGTCTGGTGTGGTGGACTTGGCGTGCTGCAGGACATGCCTCAGCCCTTCCAGTCCTATCTGATCTTGACGGCTCATCCTAGACCAGCACCAACTTCCCTTCCCCCAAGCAAGCTGCTCTCTGCCTCTGCTTTCTCGGGTGGGAGCCTTATTCTATAGGTTCGCATGCAGGGTCTGTGGTGTCAAACATCACACTACAGTTCTTCTGTCAGGGTCCTTGCTGCAGGTGGATCAGGGTGAGGCATCCTGGACAAACTTGCAATGACAAATGGGGTTAGTTGGGGAGGTCCAAAGCCCTCCAGGCTGGCAGTGAACAGACAGAACTCATTCGGTGTATGGTAATATTCCCTAAATACATACAGAAATCCGTGTTCCAGGCAAAGCAGGAACCAATGATCCTTACTTTCATGAGGACACCCTGGAGACCTCATTCCCCTGTGATTTAATGTGACTTCTGATGAGCCCCCTCTCCATGTGCTTGGGTCAAAGCTGTTAAGCAGAATGACCCAGCTGCTTTAGAGAATGGCCTCTGTCTCCGCTGCTCTACAGGGCGGTGAACTTCATGCTGACCTCCACAAGACAGAGTCCCTGGTCAGCCTATGTTCAGGCCATTCTGAAACAAGCATCTGCTGGTTGTTTGCCGAGGGTGACACTGTGCACAGAGAGGCTACTACTCCTTCCAGGGAAGGTGGCCAGCAGCCCCTGTGACCCAGATGGGCAAGCAGGTGTTGCTGTCTGCATGCCCTTCTTAGAGGACACACAACTAGATTTTCTCCAAAGACAGATAGAGCCATAGATGCCATTTAGATTTCTATGACTTCTTATGAACAAAAGGAAGTTATTTCTCCATAAAACAAAGACCTGTTTCCGGTAGAGGAAATGGTTTGATAATTTAACCGAAGTTCTGTTAAACAAAGAGCACATTTGTATTCATTGAACAACACAGCACAGTCTATCCAGGGAGGAAAGCCACCGAACCCGAGCCACGGAACTTGGTCGAGTGTCCACTGTCAGCATCCAGACACTTTCCCTGTGTACTGTGGGTGGTATATTCCATGTAACAAACACCATGATTGAGATACCATGGCCTGGGATTGTCCAAATTGTCCCCTGCACTCAGGATGGGCAGGTAGGGTTGAAAAAAAATGAGTTATCAGTTCAACCAAGGGGCAGAACCACAGGACAAAATACACATTCAGTCTTTGCCAACTTGCTATTTTTACATTGGCTGCTTCAAAAATATTCAAAAAGCTGAATTATAAGTTTCTGGTTAAGAAAACTATTTAGAATTATAAAGTTCAGCAGATGTCGTCTTCGCTTTCTTTGAGGAGAAGGCATCGCATGAGGACCAGCATGGTGGTCACAGCAAGCGTGGCGACCACAGCTCTTCCAGATGTGAGGACGGCCTGAATACACAGCTCAGCTGCTGGCTGAAAGGGCTCAGGCACAGAAAATGATCCCATACAAATAATTATATAATTCAGAACAAAAAATCATTTTGTTTTTGGTAGAACAACTTGCAGTCAGTGACTCATATAGTTTTAGCTAAAGTTGACTTTAACCATGAAGTGGTGTGTGGGTTATTTATGGAGGTGACTCCAGACATTTCTTTTACAAAAGGGTGATGTGGCTGGGATGCTCATACCCATTTCCTGAGAGTTTTTCTATAAAAAGGAGCATGCATACACTAATTGGGGCTGAATTTTTGTCACTTCTGGGAAAATAATCTACTTTTCTAAGAACTTGAACCCAAGAGTTGGATCTTTCAGATTTCTGGGTTAAGCCTACCTTCTTTTTGTTGTGCAATTGCTTTTGGATTTAATGCCCATGAATCAGTGTGTTATAAAGAAATTTGTTTATTTCAACACTATTTTCAATTAGAGTATAATTTAATCTGTCATTCTTGACCATAAAGACAAGAGTGTTTTTGCTAATAATTAATGTCAGTTGATGTGAGAACATTGAGGAATGAATTTTTCTTTTTTCCACACACAGACACACTGCATATTGACACATATAGGCAAGTACACATATGATCATTTCAAAAACTTTGGGAGAAATGATAAATTAGTTCTACCCATGCAGGAAAGATCATTTATGAAACTTATGTGATGTCCTCTGCTTTTAAAAATTAAGCAAAATTTCAAATAAAATATCTATTTTATTATTAAATGTCAGACATGAAAGGAGGGATGAGGAGTCAGACTCTGAGGGCAGAAATAGCCACATTTCCAGTGTTGTTTTATCATCTTATCAGACGTGTCCTGAGCCCAAATCCAGGGACTGACTTTGTTCAGATGTACATCTTTGCAAGATGCTGACACAATCCTACAAAGGGGAATCCTCATCCATTCCATCCACATCACCACCGATTGCCAAGCCCAAAGGATGAGCATATTTGTTGCTATATTTGTTGCCATACCCGTCATGTTTTATGAAGAAGCACGAGAAAGAGATACTCAGTCCACTGGACATGCACGTCTGCATGTCACTTCCTAGCCCTGCAGAGGCCATTCTGCAGCTGCTGTGATGACCAGGCTGAGGCCAGGAGGGCAGGACCCTGGAAGCATCTCCTCTGCTGCTGAATCATCTCCTTTTTGTGTCCCACACAGGGCCCCATGTTTTCCTTGTTGCTTCAGCCAACATGACACAAGATTAGACAGTAATGCATCCAAAGATATCCCAACTAATTCTGCTAGTTCAAGAATTGTATTTCTAATACCAAAGAACTTTGCATAACATAATTTTGTATGTTCTTTCAGAAATTTTCCAGATGTCCACGTTTTTAAAAGTGCAATATGGAGATAAAGGTCAGGATTCATAGCTAGAAAAAACTATTTTTTTTAAGAAAAGTCTTATTTCCAGTTCTACCATAAAGTTATTGAATTATTTCATAATGTTAGGAAACATAAGAAAACAATGTCTTTTAAACTGCTATTATGTGAAGAGCTCTTTGATCAACCTGTCTTTTCTGCGTAGAACCAGAATGTACCTACTTGCCCCTTTCAGGAGGGAGGATACCAAACCAGAACTGTGGGGCTCCATGGAAGAACAAGACAGTCTCAAACTAAGGAGAAACCAGGGAGGCCCCGCAGTTTGAGGAAACACAACAGGAATGTGCAGGAAGGCTTTGTTCTTCTCCAGTGTCAAGTTGGCTCTCCTCTGAGCCCAGGGCAGCTGGATGTCAGGGAGGCCTTTGGGGCTGTCATTGGTTCTAGGCGGAGAAAAATGATGAGTTTTTTTCTCCACTATAAAAATTTACAAGACTATTTCTAAGATCAGAGACTTTGCTGCTCATTCTATCAAAAATCCGCCATCTGTGGACCACCATCAGCCTCACAGAATGTGCCACTTCCTGGAGCCTCCAAGATTGGAGAATGAAATGCTTGGGGCGAGTCCTCCATGTCCCTCCAGGGCTAAGGGACCTTGGGAGGGGCTCCCAGGAAATAAAAGCCACCATCAGGAGACCAGAAGTTTCCCTGCTGGCTGAAGGCTGACTCCCATGTTGAGGACTTGAATTCCTACACGGGAGCCTGGACTGCACCACTGAGCAGAGGTTTGTGAGACCCAGCCTCCTAGGAGGAGAGCTTGGAACAAGCAACATGGGACAAAGCCAACCCGCTTTCCCAGAACTTTAAGTTGCAGGTGCAGAACAATTGGACAAATAATTGTCCAATTAAATGGTTTAATAACTTAAAACATGAAGGAATGAGTGAAATTAAAACCTCAAATAGCAGAATGTTTTACACTTGACACGCAAAATACAGGAAATGTAAAAGGAGGTGGGATAGATTAGAGAGGCAACGCCATCAAATCTTGTAGGAAAAAGCCCTGCAGGTGCAGTTTGAAAGTGCTCTCGCAGGCCCAGGGTGGAGCACAGGCAGGGCTAGGCGAAACCCCCATGGAGCAAGATTTGTCAGATACCGGCAAATAAAGCATATTAAAACTTGTGAAGTGCATCTACAGCTTTCTTATGAGGAAAAATGGCAGTTAAAATTGAATATTTTAGAAAAGGATAATAGAAAAATGATGTACTGAGCACATAGTTCATGAAGTCCTAAAAAGCTAAAAATGTGAAAGTAAATTAAGCTTGAAGATAAAAGAAATACAAAAAGAAAAATAAGTTTGTAAAACATAATAATTACACAACATACAGGACAGAAATGAAACAAAATGGTACACTTCTAGACCTATTTTACAGGCTCAAAGAAGGCATTATGAATAAAGTCATGCAGTAAAAAATAAGGGGAATTTGAAATACACTAGAATATCTCCTACACTCAAAAAACAAACAAAACTCAAAAGAAAAATGGGAAAAGAAGTTACCAGAGGAGGGTTCTGGATACTAGGACACACACACACAAAGTGAAAGACAGATTGAAGTCTCCTGTTCCATGAAGCTCAAATTCTATTGTGCAGGATTATTTCAAACAATTTCAAATTTTATTTGATAAATTTGTGCAAAACTACTGTTTCTTACCTGGTTTTAAATTTCTTTTGTATCTTTAGTAATTGTATTTTTAAAAACTCCACATGTGACTTCTCTTTATTTCTTTAAAAAATAGCTAAAACTTAATCAGTTTTGTCATTGCTGTTGAGTCTCAGATGGTTTTATCTTCATGATTGTCTCTCACTACTTCTCTCTAGATTGCTCTTTGACTTCCTTAGTTTAAGTTTTTCTCATTCTCTTCCTTTCTTACTTCTTGACATAAACACATAGACTCTGAAATTTCCCAGGAAGGTTGCTTAGTGAAATTCATTGGTATCTGATATGTATTGCTTTCTATTGTTAACTTTTGTAGAAAATCTGAAAATTTGGTTTGGAGTCACACTTCAAGTTAAAAGTCACTTAAGAGATACTAATTTGTTTTAATGTCCAGGAACTTTTTACAATTTTTTTTCTTACTAATTTCTGTATTGTGGTATTGCATTTAGGTATTTTACTACGTACTTCTACTTGTAAGACTTAGTATTTCCTAGGGATTAACAATACTGACATTACAACAGGTATTTTAAAAGAAGGTACATCCTTGTTAATTTTCTTATTATAGTCTGAAATACCATTTTTTGGTGGTAGTATTTATAGGATCTATCACAGACTGAGAGAAAGTGTCCTACGACTCGTCTTTCCTGTGTATTTCCAGTTGTTTTTCTGTGGCTTTATCCTCGTCATTATTGATGCTATATTATTTCACATTCCATTATCTGATGCAAAGATCTTCAAAAACAAGATAACAACTTATGGCTATCAGATATTTTTTCAAAATATGCAAGGAAGGTAGCAATTTAATCAACATTATAAAAAGTTGAACTTCTAGCAGGCAACGTGGTGCACACCTGTAATCCCAAGGTGGTTACACCTGTTGCTCAGGCTGAGGCAAGTTGTGATCAGGAGGATCAAAAGTTCAAAGCCAGCCTCAGCAACTTAGCGAGACCCTGTCTCAAAATAAAATATTAAAAGGGGAGGGGGGATAGTAGGGGATAGGAAAGGTAGCAGAATACAACAGTCACTAATATGCCATTATGTAAAAATGTGAGTATGTAACAGAAGTGAGTCTGTATTATGTATTTGGGGAGTTCAAAACCCAATTGAGTCGAATGTATGAAAGATGATATGTCTTGAGCTCTGTAATGTTTTGAACAACCAATAAAAAAAAAAAGGGAAAAAAAATATTAAAAGGGCTGAGGAGGGTGTGGTTCAGTGGTTAAACAACTCTGGGTTCAATCCACAATATCTTTAAAAAAAAAAAAGCCTATGGGCTCCCAGGAAGGGTCACTTGCCAAGACTAGAACAGCCCTTCTGGTAGCTGCTTTTTGCAATGTGATTTTGTAGCTCTTGCCATAAAAAGGTCACTTGGTCTCCTTGCCTCATGATTCTAAACTAACCTTGCAAATGGCTTTGACCAGAAGAATTTAGCAGGCAGGACCTGACTTTCTTAAATACTCCTGGACTCCTTCCCCATGACCACCAAGAGGCAAGTTGGTCTGGCCTCTTGGGCGATGAGAACAGGAGGCAAGCCACCAGGCATGTGACTGGACACCCAGCACTACAGCAAACATGTGAGTGAGCTTCCTGGGACCCTGCAGCCTGCCTGGCTGCCAGAGACCCACCTGAAACCCACAGCATCAAACAATCTTCAAGACTGACAAGCCACTCAACTAGGATGGTGTGCTACTAGCAAGAGATGACTGATAATGTCACACTCAGTGTTTACAGTCTCAATAGAAATCACTACGATAAAACTCAGCAATGAAACCAAACAATTCACCAAAAGACACATGCGTTACAGCAAAGAACACTCGTTGTAAAAGCACGATAGCATTGAAAACAATGCTACCATAAAAACAAAATGTTATCCAAAGAAATTAGACACCCGTGGAGAAATCACGAATATCAGAGTAGCCCAGGCTATGACATATAATGATGACCGTTGACTATGATCGGAGCTTGATAATCCTTAGCTACGTAGGGCCACTGAGGTGCTGTGTTGGGCGTGTGGCTGTCCTCTGGGTGCTGCTGTGTGGGGAGCTGGGTCCTCAGTGGTGGTGTGGGAGGTGACGGGTCTTTAAGAGGTGGGCCTAGTGGGCATTCCTTAGGTCACTGGCCACGCCCTCAGCTCTCCAGGACCTGGAGGTCGCCCTGTTGAGAGTGAGCTGACCCTCGCTGGCTTCCTGTGTGGCCCAGGCCTGCGTTCCTGCCACCCTGTGCCACCCACCCTGAGGCCTCCCCTAGAGCCAGTCAGGTGCCCGTGAACCTCCAGAACCACGAGTCGACTCATCTCTCAAGATCACTGAGCCTCAGGTATTCTGCTCTGATAATGGAAAAGAGCAAGACGCACATGGTGAGCTCTGAGTACTCCTCAAAATTAATAGTGGTTTAGACACCAACTTTACCAGAAGACACTGAGGCACCTTCACACCTCATCTCCAGAGCCTTGCTGTGGAGAACCCCCACGCAGGGCGGAGAACAGAAGAGGATCATGTATATAAAGACTCCATATTATTGTTATTATTATTTATCTCTATTTATCTTTATGTGATGCTGAGGATCAAACCCAGGGCCCGGCATGTGCTAGGTGTGTGCTCTACCACTCAGCCCCAGCCCCAGCCCCAGAGAAAGACTATATATATTATCTCAAGTAAAATTAAATTCCATTTTGTTTTGTCCTATATCAGTAGCCAAAGATTTATTTTCCTACTGCTAAAATAAAATGCTGGAGACATTTGTTCTCAATGGTTTCATTACCAAGTCTGATTATTTACAGAAACATAATTTTATGTAAAATTTATAAAAGCTGTTTTAAGTACTTGTAGACATTCATAAAACGTGATATAGGAATTAGCAAAAACTCATCATTAACTCATAATAGAAAATCAGTTCTGAACTTACTGAATTTAAAATGAACTTGCTGATTTTTTTTCCTTTTAAATATAAGCCTCTTTGTTCTATCACTAGTATAAAAAAGGGGGGTGATTTCCAGAATTTTAGCCAAAAGCATAATCTGTTATCTCATGGCTACAGCTGTTTACATATTTTCAATTGAATAATGTGCTTCCAACAATTTCAAAAATCAAACAAAAGTCAGACCCTTGATATTTTCACATTTAGGACAAGGAATCATGATCCAGTACAAAATTCATGTGAAATTCTCATGTATTATTCACAACATTAGCAATAATTAACCAAAGATAAAAAAGTAGATGTAAACTGTACCTTCTAGTGACAATTAAAATCCTTAAACATGTACAGCAGTAATTTAAAGCTATAGACACTTTTGTCTTTGAATTGGGGCAAAATGCAGTTATACAAAATTTACCATTTCAACCATTTCTAAAATCACTCTTCAATTTCTCTGTCATGTCATTTACCTATGGATCTGTAATCCTCCCCTGCCCAGCTGAGGGTTCCCCATTTCATTCTGCAAACCTCTTCAGGTCAGGTGTTTTTCAGCTCAAATAGGATACACATTGCTATGGTTCAAGTACCGTTGGTCCCCACCAAAACTCAAGTGAAGCTTGATCCCCAGTGTAATGGTATTAAAAGGGGTTGAACCTTTAAGAGGTGACAAGGTATTAAAGGGGGATTCATGCCTTTCTTGTAGGAATGAGTTCTTGCTCTGGCTGGACTGAGTCAATGCCAGTGCCATGCTCTTGAACTTTCAGAACCAAGAGGCCAAATAGAATTCTTTCCTTTATAAGTTATCAAGTCTCCGGTATTCTGTAGTAGCCACAGAAAATGGAATAAGATGTCTCCTCTAAGGCTGAGGGAGACATCGGAGTGCGTGCTATGGTCTGAACAAGATTGCCTAAAGCATTGTTGGAAACTTATTCCTCTATGCAACGTTGGCATAAGGTAGTAGTAGCAAATGTGAGGATGGATCGATAAAGACAAGGCAATTTGAATCTAGGGGAGATAGAAAAAAATGAAGACAAGAGAACAGTACCTCAGAGAATTGCACCAATGTGTGCATATTCCGAACTCCAGACAGTCAGAGAAAGCAGAAAAAAATTATCCAAAGAAATAATGGCTAAAAGTGTGCCAGTGCAGTGGTGGTGACTGGGATCAAATGGGAGATGTTTGGGCTCAAGGGTGGGTCCTGTTGAGTGGATTAATGCCAATTACAAATGGCTTGAGGCACTCACCCTCTTGTGCATGCTCTCATCCTCTGCCTTCTGCCACAGGAATGATGTAGCTCACCAGAGGCAGCCCATTGATCTTGGACTTCTCAGTCTCCAGAACTAGGATCCAAGTTACTGCTTTTCTTTATAATTTCTCCAGGTGTGGTATTCTATTGTAGCAGAACAGAAAGCACCAAGTAGGTGTGAAAAATAACTTGCACTCAGAAAGACTGGGTCCTAGGTTAGTTGTATTACTACAACTATCTGTATTACTAAAACTCTACTTACTTATAGAGCTTACTATATTATCTGCTTACCATTTTGAGTCCACTTTTTTGTTTTTTTGTGGATTCAAGTTACTGTATGGTGTCATTTCTTTATCCAATAAAGGTTTGCTTTCTTTGCTATAATCAAATATATTTAAGTTATATGTCAAACACGATAGAATACCAACAAATGGATTTTTAAATATGTTTGAGAGAAGAAATATGTATTCTGTCTTTTCTGATTGTACCAATGCTCTTTGTGTGTGATTTGAATTACCATACATGATTACTTGATCTCAGTGTGCATAACTGTATCTAGGATTTCCTGTGAGGTGGTTCTGATAACAACAACAACAAACCTTGTTGTGATTTCTAGAAGTGTCTTGTTTCATCTTCATTTCTGGAAGAGCTTTACAAACACTAGAGTCCTGTTTGACAGTTCTCTTGAGCACTTGGACTGTATACTCCAGAGATTCCCGCCCTCCACTGTTCCTAACGGTTAGTCAGATGTCCATCTCGCTGGGGTTTCCTTGTTTCTCCTGCTGTTTTCTCTGTCTTCCAGGACTTTTACCATGTGTTCCTAAGTGAGGACCACTTTATGCTTATCCTACCTGGAGCTCTTTTACCTTGAATGTGTAGATTGATATTTTTCACCAAATTTTGGAAGTTCTCAGCCCCTGTTGCTTTGGGTCTTGCTGTGCTTCTTTCTGGCTCTCTCCTGATGCACACTTTGCATCTCTCTGAGGCAGTTCTCTTGTTTTCAGGTTGCGTTGTCCCCAGCAATCCGTCTCCAAGCTCTAATGCTGCATGTTTGACTACTTTAAACCTGAAAAGTCTTTAATTTCAGTTATTGTGCATTCTCACTCTACAATTACCATTTGGCTCATTTAAAAGAAACAATTCTTTTTTTTTTATATTCTCTAGTTGATGACACAGAAGCTGGCTTCTTATTCTAAAATGTTAACTATCTGATACTGGAAGCCATCTTTGTTTACCTCTGGTCTGAAATCTGATATCAGATATCTCTTCTTCAAACATACTGGAAGCAGACCCTAAATATTTTAGTCCGAAAAAGTATAAATAGTGATATTTTTCCTGAAACAAATGTGTTACCTCTTCTGTGTAATAAATACATATATAGTTGTTATAGCTTGGGGAAAAAATGTACTATAAAATTATTGTAAAGTTTTGCTGCCTGTGGCTTACACAATCTTAAGGAATGTTATTGATATGTTGACTTTCCCTTGTTTTTGCATAATCCTATCCCATGTCAGTGAAAAGATTTGTTCTCCAGCTCATAGACCCAGTTTTACTCATAATACTGTTCTATCAGTCCAAGTTTAATGCAGCATAATGATATTAATTAATGCACATATTGATGCTGTCATCAATCAATGAGAACCATGTGCTAATTTAAATATTCAATTTACCTGTGAAAATAGGAGCTATCATAGATGTTCCATGAATGAGGACCATAGCATTTAAATTGATCCAAAAATATATATATCC